TTTTTTTTACTGGCTTTCTTCTCCCTTTCACCCCCACCAAACCAAACATGATCCTGTCCATCCTTCCATGGACTTGGACATGTTGCTTGCAAAAGAGTGTTTCTCCTTGCGAAAGAGTGTTTTGACATTACGTCCATCAAGAATTACATTGATCCATTAACTTCGTAGGGCCACCCTCCACTACTCACCACAGGCATAAAAGACCAAAAAAAATGGTGGTGTACACTTCCCATGTTCTAGCGGAAAATTCGTTCTCCTTTGCACATTTGGTGAGAAGTGCAGCGTGGCCCCTAGTCCGTCATCCTGGCCCTGATTTGCAGCCCTTTGAGGTCCCCCTTTGTCTCCATGTTTCCAATTTTTCCCTTCCTCTCTGAAATACATAGTCAACCAATACCATTGGTTGATAGACAGATTACCTTTTTTTTTTTTCTTTTTTTTTTTGTTGAAAAAGGGCGACGACCTTGAGATATCATCATTGAACTAACCGGCCCCAGGTAATTCAGAATTTTGAATTTTTTTCTGGTCATCTACTCTTATTATATGGGTTCGAAGTTCGAACTCGGGTCCGCATTTCGACAGTTTTTTTTTCTGTGGGTGTACCAAGTACTGTGAACTGAGCTAGGCGCGTTGGTTGATAGACAGATTACTTTCTGCAATCCTTTTTTTTTTTTTTTTTTTTTTTTTTCCCACCCCTTGTGAGACCTCCCTCCCTCCTTTCCGCTCAGTAATTCCGCCCTGGCACAACCCTACTCCCCCAGGCGACCCCAGTGTCCACAACTCAGGGACCATCACCTTTCTACCATCTTGGCGGGGCGAGCTGACCAGACAGTGGTTGTAGGCACCAGGGCTGAGCAGAACCCGACTCATCCCTCCCTCAATGAAGCATCATATGATCGGGCGAACCCTGTCGCCGTCCTACCCTGTTGTCGTCCTGGTACTTCCGGCGGTAGGCGTCGACATTCTTACTGCAGGTCCCACTACTGGACCCTAATTGTCCCCAAAGGGCCCAAAGCTTACCTGGATCCCCAGTGGACACATCTACTCGCAAACACCCTAGGTATCACCGACTGGCGGTATCTACAGCCTGCCCGCTAGCACCCACTTTTTTTTCTTTTTTTTTTTGGAAACTGTCCGCCGGGAGCAACTAGGGGAGGTGGTAACCCCCCCCTTCTCTCCCGCCCCCCACCTCCTAGTAGGTCTGTTGGCGGCTGGTCCATCTATTGCTGGCCACCCGCGCCTGCTGGAAATCGTGCCCACTGC